GTAGCGGAGAATCGACGCACGCGCGGAGTAAGTAATCGAGATCTTCGAGATATTCCGCTTCTACGATTATGCCGCAGTAAAGACTTGAAGAATTTACCCATCAAATGAACGTTAATTAATTCATTAAAATATAAATTGTCGCACGCGCTGTAATTAACTTACCTGTCGATTTCCTGTAAATAAATCGATTAAAAGAAGGATCAATCAATAGGTAGGGTTATAGAAAGAAAAGGGCAAAAGGAAAAAGAGCAAAGAGAAAAGGGCAAAGAATGTTAGTAGAGATAAAAAAGCAGAAAGGGTCACCTTCCCGATAAGACGACTCTCTTACGAGAAGAAACCTTAACCGGAGTATTCCGCACAAGGTACGAGGCTTTTAACAATCCGTCGTGCTTCGGAGCCAGCACCGATAATTCGGCTCGGCTCAGGAAAATCCGCACAAAGTACGAGGCAAAAAAGGGTACTGATAACACTGGAGTCGCGGAATCGCCTCGCTCTTACAGAGACCCAGCAGGGACCGCACTCGCATACACGTAGTACCGTACACCTGCACAGGGTTATCCGTCGGCAGACAACTCTACGCACGCAACACCCAGATAGCTTTACTATTGACAACCCTTCGTACCTCGGAGCCAACGCCGATAATTCGGCTCGGCCCAGGAATAACGGGACAAAGCAAGAGATAGTAGTGTTAATAAGAATTAGGAAAAAGAAAAGAAAGAACGAAAAGAGAATGAGAAAAAGAAAAGATAGGAGCAAAAAAAAAGAAAAAAACAGAAAGAAAGAAAGAAGTAAAGAAATTGGAAAAGAAAAAAAGTGAGAAAAGAAAATGGAAAAGGTATACACTTGAACACGATAATTATTATAAAATATTAAGTTGGTTATACATATGATTGCACTCACAAAACGAAAAGAAACAATAATTTTAACGGCCCGCTTGCGAGATAGGTCGTAATATAATCAAATAATCTGACTGTGAAACATTGATTGACGCGACAGAGACAGAGACAGAGAGAGACAGAGACAGAGTATAGCAGTAGCTTCACAAAAATCGATGCACACAGATTGAAATAAATTAACAGAAGAGACACTTAAATTACTTACAGAAATCAACAAAATCAGAGAACAGAGTATATAGTAATATAATAATACGGTAAATTGAGAGTATAAGATGCGATCAAATAGAGGCAGACCGGGTACGGTTGGAAAATCTTAGGTTCACTTACTCAAGCAACGTGATTGGCTGTTCAAAAGGCCGGCGCAGACCCCAACAAAAGACTGCTCAAACTCGCAGAGTACAGCAGATGAAACGAGAATTTAACAAACTACACGACTAAGTGTCGGTATACGCCTTGACACTGTATGTGTCTTACAATATTAAGAGAACCCGCACTCCTATTCTGAACTACTGAGCAGTAAGTCGACTCGAAAGCCTAGAGGCAATACGGAAGACTTACTACTTCTAATGCTACCCGCTATCTGGTCTGCGGGCCCTCCGGGAGCTCTTTATATAGGGAAGGCCTCCCACCTTGGGCAAGTGGTAGGCGGAGAGTTCTCGGAATGGTAGAACCGCTTGGAAAGGGTAACGGAAGATGGGATGAGAGAGGCTCTGGGAGAGGGAACGCATCGCTAGAAATGACTCGTAATCTAATTAATTGTTATAATTAATTAGTTAGATGATTTTGAGTTTTAAGATTAAAATAAAATTATTCTCGGCGTT